CTCTCATCTTCTTGTCCATCATTCCTGGTGCTACTATGCCAGGAGCCAAGGGATTCACAAGAGGCATGCCAGGGGCAGGTGGTGGGTATGGAGGAGGGTAGGGACCTGGGGGTTGTTATCCTGGATACCCTGGCTGTGGCACTGGATGAGGGGACCCGCCTGGGGGAAAAGCTGTATTCCCCTGGGGAGCTCCTGAGGGAGGCAAGGAGCCTGAAGGAAAGGCCAGATTGACAGGTGATGGAGGGGCAGGATTGGAACCTCCAGGGCACCTGACATTGAGGGATATGAATTTGGCCCTGGCTGCCTGGCATTGGGATTCCTCACGTTCAGGTATTTTCCCCAGCCTTTCCACCACCACCTGGGCTTGACTCTTCCTTCTTCTAGTCTTGGCTCCCGCTTTCTGGTCGCCCCCATGCCATGCTTCGGTGCTGAGGTCCACATGTTAGCTGTCAGTTTTTAAGCAGGAGAGTGAGTGACATGATCTGACTTACGTCTTAAAACTCACTCCAGCCAAATTTTGGAGAGTGCATTGCCATGAAGGTTGTTAGGAGACTGGACGTAGAGAAACCAACTGGGAGGCTATTAAGTGTCCAGGAGGTGAAAAATAATAATACAGATGTGAGTGATATCTGCGGGGATGGAAAAAGGCAGATGAATGAGATGTCACATGGGCAGGCCAGGCTTGTTTGTCAGGGCTCGTCCAGACTTGTGTGTGTGTGTTTTGTTTATTTGAAAATATTGTTTTCAGAGCTTTCATTAATGTAGTTATTAGTATATTGCCAATAGTAAAATCTTAAAATTTCTTACATACGTAAAATTTTAGCAACATTATAGAATATTAAGGTAAACATTAATCCATATTTTAATCAATTTATTAAACTTTAATCCAGTTTATTTACTATTATATCACCTTGCCTGTGTGTAATTGTAATATACATTATGTAATACAATAGGAAATTTTATAGTTATCACTTATGTTTTAATCTCTTATGTATATTATGCTAAATAATCCCTATAGTTTCATAATATTGTATTGGCAGATTTTAATGTTTATGTTACAACTATTCATTTATTGTTGGACATTAAGATTGTTCCGAATTTTAAAGTTATTTTAACGTATTTCACATTTATTTTAAGGTATTCCAAATAATGTTGCCATAACATTTTTTGCATCTATATTTTTCCCTTTCTTTTCTTAAATTTTGGATTAAGTAAAAACTTCTTTGTAGGTATCTTTCTAGAAAAGTTTGCTGTCTTAACACACTCTTAAAAACTAAGTTAATAAAACCTGAAGCTGTAAAAAGCTATACTTAATCTTGATTATTGGGCTCAGAATATGTATACTTTGATTTAGATTTAAGTTTATAGACTTCCTTATTGAAGGAATGGAACACATACTTAATCTGGTCTGCAGTCTTTATCTTATCCCATTCACATGGTAGTTTGTAACAAAAGGAAAGCAACCCCTGCCTTATCTTTAACATGTTGTTTTTACAAAGATTCATTCTTTCAGTATCCTCAGGGAACCAGGAAGCAGCTAGACAGTTGCCTCTAAATTGCACCCTCAAGTCCTTAGTTACTGATGAAAATAGCTTAAAGTTGGGATTTATGTAGTAATAGAGAAATCATAATGCTGTATAATCTTTGCCTATTTTTTTTTTTTTTTTGAAACACTGAAGTAGAACATTTTTATTTTTGGCTCAGAATGTTCAGCTTCATTGGCATCTCATGAGGAAATATTGTCAGACAACCATTATTATTTTGTTCTTTGGGTCATTCTTTTGGAACAAACTAGGTTAAAATAAATAGATTAAGAGTAAACAGATTAAATTAAAAAAATTAAAGGATATATTTAGAGAAGAGTAAAGACTTCACTTAGTTCATTAGTTCATTTATTCTTTGTTGATGTTTAGTCCCCAGCTGTTTTCATACTTTGCCTTCTGGTCTTTGAAATAGTGCCACTTAAGGCATGCTGTGGTTTCTATCCTATCTTTAGGTTTAGAAGAGCAATATTCAAGCTGATCTTTTTCTTAAAAAACAAAACAAAACTAGTTTCTTCAATTGATTCCTTGGTTCTTGATACCACAATAAAATATATATATATATGTATGTATATTTTGTATGAACAAACTATTCTTTAAAACTTTGATATCCGAACTGTGGTCCAGATTCAGCCGCATTGGTATCACTTGGGAAATTATAAGACATGCAGAATTTCAGGTGCTACCCCAGACCTACTGAATCTGAACTTGTATATTAACTTGATTCCTGGGTGATTCATGTTAGCGAACAGTACCAGCCCAGACTCACAAGGTTGGGTTCTGTTCAAGGCCAGTCTTTACACTGTGCCCTTGATTCCATCCCTTCTCATCCCCTTTGGGAACTTGTTTACCTGTATTTCATGGATTTTGCCACTGCCACCCGCCACTACCACTGTCATCATCATCATCCACATGTGGCTTAGAGGTTAAGAACAACAACAATTAAAAAGTTCTGGAGCCAGGTGGCCTTGGTTTGAATCCCCACCCTGTTATTTCCTGGCTGTTATTGCCAGGTTTCTTCACGTTAAAGTGAGGTGCACCTCGGGGAGCTGAGAGGATCGAGTGTAAGGGCAAAGCAGGGTCGCGCGTGCAATTCCCGCTGCCACTGTTCCCCTTCCCCATCCTCACTAGCGCTGCTTTACTTACCCCTTGCAGTGTAGCAAACCATCCCAGGACTTCGAAGCTTAAAATAATTATTTTATCATATATCATGATTTGGTGGATTATCAATTTAGGCAAGGCTCAGCTGGGCAGTTCTGCCTGCTCTATGTGACATCCACTGAGGTCACTTGATGGTTTTCAAGGCTTTTAAAAATTATTTTAATTATTAAGTTGTAAGAGTTCTTTCTATATTCTAGATGCCAGTCTCTTCTCAGACATATGATTTGCGAATATTTCTTTGAGTCTGTGGATTCTCTTTTCACTTTCTTTATGATATCCATTGAAGCCAAATGGATTTTAATTTAACTTATAATTTTTAAATTTTGAGATAGTCCAATGTATCTCTCTCTCTCTTTTTTTTCCTTTTCCTTTTTTTGCTTGTCTTTTTGTTGTTGTGTAAGGAGTCTTTGCCTAACCCAAGGTCATCAAGATTTACTCCTTTGTTTTCTTCCAAGTATTTTATAGTTTTTGCTGTTAACATTTAGGTCTGTGATCCATTTGGAATTAATTTTTTTGTGTAGTGTAAGGAAAGGGGCACCAGTTACTTTTTTAGTTGCAAATTTAATCAAACCTTTTAAATCCCTGTCTTGTTTATCTCTGTTGCTTGAGGAACTGTTGGTTACTCACTTGCCATTAAAACTCTTTGCCTGTGGCTTCTGAAACTGTTTCTTATCATTTCTCTTTACGCTTTCCTTCTTATTCTTAGTTTATTTAAAAAATTTTTGTTTAAGGGCCGGCCCGTGGCTCACTTGGGAGAGTGCGGTGCTAATAACACTAAGGCCATGGGTCGGATCCCTGTATAGGGATGGCCGGTTTGCTCACTGGCTGAGCGTGGTGCTGTCAACATCAAGCCAAGGGTTGAGATCCCCTTACCAGTCAGTCATCTTTTAAGGAAAAAAAAAAAATTTTATTTACAAACCACAATGTGCTGGAAATGGTTCTAGGTGCTGGTTCTGCCCCTTCTCAGTTTCTATTCTTCTGTTGGCAGTTTCCTCTCCTCTAGTGGCTAAAACTACCACCTATATGCTGATGCCTCCCAAATCAATACCCCTGCCTTTCACAGTGAGTCTGTCTTTTCTGCTAAATTAGGAGTCTAACTTTCCCTGAAGTGTGGACCATATCTAATTAATTTTTGTGCCCAGCACAAAATAATTGGACATAATAGATGCTTGATAAACACTGCATATGTGTTGTTTAATACTACATATATGAGGGGTCTTCAAAAAGTTCATGGGAAGATTCATATTATTTGCTGGTTCAGTTTTTCCATGAACTTTTTGAAGTACTCTTGTGTATTCCTTTTTTTAAAAAAAAAAATAAAGATGACTGGTAAGGGGATCTCAACCCTTGGCTTGGTGTTGTCAGCACCACGCTCAGCCAGTGAGTGAACCAGCCATCCCTATAAAGGGATCTGAACCCATGGCCTTGGTGTTATCAGCACCGCACTCTCCTGAGTGAGCCACAGGCCGGCCCTTACACTTTTGTATTCTTAAATACTGCATATATATTGTTAAAGCTGTCATTCCGTGTTTTATAGAAACGGATGAGAAATTGAACTTTATGGATCCTTGGTAAAGGTGCTACTTAGCGATTTAGTAGTTAAAGATGAACGTAATTTAATGGGTTTGAACATCATTTCAAATAAAAGATTGTGAAGTCAGTAGCCATATCAGCAGACTTGTAAATTTGAGCCATCTTGGCATCTTTTCAGGTTATTCACAAACTGGGGCATGTTGACATTTCTGGTACCCCATTCTTCTTTGGAAAAAAAAAAAGGTGATGTTAGTGAGGAGCATTTCCCATTTGTGAGAATACAAGATACGTGAGCTGCTTCTCTCCTATTGACCTTTTTGGGGAATCCTTTGCAAAATCACTACTGATACTTCTTTGGAAAAATATAAGAAATCACATTTCTCCAGAAATGAACTGTGCTGCTGTTAGCAGATCCTGTCTGTGTGGGACAGATCATGACTTTAAACTATCATTTGGTCAAAAGTTTAGTATCTAGTTCTCTTTGGATTTGTCAGAGGACATAGTAGCTTTGTTAGATTGGTCTCCTGTTGTCTGCTGGAGAACAATGGCCAGAACAAAATACGCCATTGGTTAGTGGAAGGGTGGGGGATGGCTGATCAGCCATGTGCCTCTTGGGTCCACAAAGAAGCCTCACATGTCGTGGCACTTACTGTCGATCAGTCAGAGTGTCGTCACTCTGAAGATTGTATTTATTAGTCTGATGTGCTCATTATGAAATGCTACTGGACATTGATTCAAAACAATAATTTATTTTATTTTGATTCTGTAGGAACCCGGAAAGATTGTGCAATGAATGGTGACACCCGGGCTGCAGTGGTGACCTCACCACCCCCAACCACAGCCCCGCACAAGGAGAGGTACTTTGACAGGGTAGATGAAAACAATCCGGAATACTTGCGGGAGAGGAACATGGCACCAGACCTTCGCCAGGACTTCAATATGATGGAGCAAAAGAAGAGAGTGTCCATGATTCTGCAAAGTCCTGTAAGAGAACCAAATGTTGCCTTCCCTCTTCTGATAATTCACATCTTATGCTGTGTTGTATGAGGGGCATAGTCAGTTTTTCTCAACACAGGAGGTTGGTGCCTCCCATGTATGTATATGGTTGTTGAAAGAATTCAGTTTAGTTCATGTTCTCAGACATAATAAGTCTTCAGTGTCGTAAAAGATCAGAGGTGTTTATTTCACCTTTTTACTCTTTTACTATACTACTTCTCAGAGGGTCTTTATACACTGCGACAGTTTAAAGAAAATAACTCTTCTCTCCAAAATACCTAGCTCAGTCCTGGGCATGTGGTAAACATTACCTGATTATTGGTTGCTTTTACCTTTACAGGCAGCACTTTGAACCACAGTCGTGCCCAACTGAGTGTCTCTTCTAGGTTGCGTCTTCAGGTGGTTCTCTCTTCACAGTTTGTCATGTTGGTGCTGCTGCCCTTGTGTGTGCCTCATTCTTTTTTTTTTTCTTCTTCTAAACCATTCTTGCTTTATCTCCTGGATACGTTTGGGGGATGTCATTTGGCAGATACTTATTTTTTTCATTGTTGTTGATTATTGATTGTCTTTTTTTTTTGTTTTGGCAGCTGGCCGGCATGGGGATCCTAACCCTTGACCATGGTGTTATTATAACATCCTGCTCTAACCAATGATATTGATTGTCTTTTATGTGTTGTTCAAGGAACTGGGGATTTAGCAGTAAACAAAACATATAAGGTCTCTAACTCTAATAGATTTTTACATACAGTAAAATACACAAATTTTAAGCATATAGCTTGATGATTTTTGACATATATATGACACCTGTTTAACTACCCAGATCAAGTCTCAAGAATCTACTTTCTAGTTGAAGGAGATAAACAATAAATAGCAAACAGAAGTGCATCGCAGAAAGCAGTAGGGTGACGACACTGAGTGTGACTGTGGTCAGAAGAGGCCTCTTTGAGGAAGGAAGATTTAATCTAAATTCTGAGTGACAGGAAGGAGCCATCCTCGCAGGGATCAAGAGGAGCATTCCAGGTCAAGGGACCCGCTGACATGAAATTCCTAGGGGAAGGATGAGCGTAGTGGGCACCTCGGAGGTGGCAGGAGAGAGGAGTAGTGAGGTTGGAGAGGGTGGGAGGAGCAGATCCTGGAAGGCTTTGTAAGCTGAGATTGGGAGTTTGAATGCGTCCTGAGTGCAGTAGAGAGTTGTTGGATGACTGCAGACAGGTGAAGGACATGAGTCAGTTTTAAAGAAATCATTTCGGGTTTGTATAGAGAGAGCATTGGGTGGGGCAAGAGAGGTCACTGTCCTCCAAACAAGAGATGATGGCAGCTTGGGCCAGGGTGGTGGTGGTAGAGGTGGAGAGAGGTAGACTCACTTGAGTTTCTTTTTGAAGGTGGAACTTGCCGATGGATGGGGTGGAACAAGTGAGAGGTTTTGGCCTGAGCAGGTGTCCTGTGTAAAAGCAAAAGGAAACTAAGTAAAAATGACTAGGGATAGAGCAAAGAATCTGAACTCACAGGAAGGACCCAGTGTATGCCAGGCTCCTTGCTGGCACTGGGGGTGTAACAATCATAGGTAAAGTCACTACCCACAAGCTGTTCACACCACAGCGGGGCATCGTGTTACTGGTCTAAATGCAGTGTGGGTCCTGGGACAGAGAAGGGACATTGGTGGAAGGACTGGTAAAATCCAGGTAAATGCTGGGATTTTGTCAAGAGTAATGTACCAGTGTGGGTTTCTTGGTTTTGACAGTGTACCATGGTAATGTAGGGTGATAACAATGAAGGGATCTGGGAATGCTCTGCTCTATCTTTTCAACTTTTCTGTACATCTAAAACTATTCCAAAATAAAACATTTATTTAAAAAAGCAGTTGCTGGGTAGTGTGAGGGAAGTATCATGTGTGGGTATCATGTTGGTCAGCTCCTTTGGAGTGTCAGGTGCCGAGAATGCTTCCATGGCAACGTCATGGAGCAGGCCATGCTGGGGGAGTCATTACGGTAGTTAGAGAGGACTGTTGTTTACCTTGTGTTCGTGAGGAAACCAGGGCTCAAACAGCCTGAGTACTTTGGCCAACTACTGAATGTTAATTCCGCTATTTCCATTACCATCCTTAAACTAGGAAAGTCAGTTTTGACTTAAAGATATTCTGTTTTAATAACTAAAAATATTTTATGCTTACCAGGAATTAGTTTTTTTTTTTTTTTTTTTTTTTTTAATTTTTTTTTTTGTCAATATACACTGTATATGATTATTATGGCCCATCACCGACACACCAGGAATTAGTTTTAAACATTACTTTAAATAGCATAAAATTGGCAATAGAATGGGGTATACCAAAAACGTGCTTTGTTTACCGCTGTCATCTGCTTTCTCACCATTTCTCCCTTGCACCTCACTACTAGAGGTGCCGTGTGAGTTCGCTGCTTACGCTGTGGTTTGTAACTTCTGTCTTGGCACCACTCCCCTCACAATGCCCTTCTGCCTCTCTCTCACTACCCGCCAGTCCTGTCCCCATTCCCTGGTAAATTCTTTTATTTTCCTCCTGTTTGGCGGCTGGCTGGTGTAGGGATTGAACTCTGGACCGTGGTGTTAATTAGCACCGCGCTCTAACCAACTGAGCTGACCAGCCAGCCCTCCTCTGACACATTCTTGTTCATCCCTCAGAGCCCTTCTCTGACATTCCTTGTGAAGTCTTCCCTAAATGGAAGTAATTACTGCCTTCTGTGCACTGTTCGTATTGCTTGTATTGCAGGACTCGGTCTGCACCAAACATTTGCTAAGTGCTTTATTTATCTTCTTTAATTGACTTCTCCCCATACACAGGTGGTGTGATGCCATTTTACAGATAAAGAATGCGAGGCTCAGGGAGATGAACTAACTTTTATCCATTCTCTCATCAAATAGTTGATTCTTCTACATACCAAACACTGTCTAAACACTAGAGATAGAGCTTTTTAAAGTATATGTGTTAGGATTTTCTGTCATCCAATTTGTTGAAAGATTGGGAGAAAGAATTTAGACAGTTTTTAGCGCTGTTGGGAAAATATAGGAAAAATGGTCAGGGCCACTCAGATGTTCAGAATCTTGCCGAGCATTTGATGTAAACAGGCACGTGCGCTCAGGTGTTCCTTGGTTATCGTCTAGTGTAATTGCGCATGTGCACCCAGGTGTCCTGGGTTATGGACTTACGTATAAGGATGAGTGGCTCTGATCCACGGCGCCTCCCAGCCCTGGGATGCCCTCCCCCCCCCGTAGGGGGGCATGGTGAAGCCACTACTGCTGCTGGAGGCTGCTGCTGTTAGTGCCCCCAGGACCCTGTGCAAGGCCGCTGCCACTGCCAGACCTGTAAGCTACTGGATCTGTAAGCCGCTGCCACTGAGGAAGCCGAGGACTCAGCTCATCTCATCTGCCAACGGCTCCCAGAATCTTTCCCAATTACCTAGCATGGACCTGCATGTGAAGGGTCTGGGGACCCAGCCGGGCATGTGAGGGGTCTGGTGACCCGGCCTGTACAGTGGGTTTGGAGGGTCTGAGCCCTGGCTCTGACAATGTAAATGGAAACTTAGTATAACTAAAATAATGAAACATTTTGGCTTTAGTTATGACTTGCCTTACTTTACAAGTGCCTAGAGCCAGACTGCCTAGGTTCAGATTTTGGCTCTGTCATTCAATAGTTCTGTGACTTTGGTCAAGTTTCCAAACTTCTCCATGCCTCAGTTTCCCTGTCTATAAGATAGGGATAATAATAGTACTATCTACCTCTTAGGGTTGTCATAAGGATGCATATAAAGCTCTTAGAATACCATCCGGAGCCCAGTGAGTACATGTAAGTGTTCACTTTGATTCTTTTTATTTTGGGTGTGGTGTAGGAGAGAGACAGTTGTTAGAGAAGACTGCAAGTTTTAGGCCTGAGCAACTGGAAACATGGAGTTAGCATTTGCTGAGGAAGACAGTAGAACAGGATTTGTGGGAGGGAAGCTCAGGAATTCCAGTTTTAGCGATCTTCAAATGGAGATGTTTTGTGCGAATTGGATTTGTAAGTCTGGAATTCAGGGAGAGATCTAGGCAAAGATCTCAATTTGGGAGTCCTCAGACAGAGAACAGGACTGTGCTCCAATCAGGTATTTAAATTTGGGGAGATGAGGAAGAACTAGCAAAAGAGCCTGAGAAGGAGCAGCCAATGATATAGGAAGCAAACCGGGAGAAGGCAAGTAAAGAAAGTCTTTCCAGAGGGAGGGAGAGGTCAGCTGTGTCAGATGCTACTGATTGGTCAGGAAAGTGAAGACTAGTTGTTGGATTTAACAATGTGGGTGTCTTTGGTAAACTCGATGAGCATAGCAGATAGGGGTAAAAGGCAGATTCAGTGGAGTTAAAAGAGGATATAGGGAGAGGAATCAGAGACAGCAAAGACAGTTCTTTTGAGGCCTTTTGCTGTAAAGGGAGCACAGAAATGAGGCAGTTAGCTGGAGGGGGATGTGGGATTGGAAAGAAGTTTTCTTATAAGATGGGTGAAATGATAGTGTATTTGGATGCTGATGGGAATATTCAGTAGAGGGAGGAAAGTTTGACACAGGAGTGGGAAGAATTGTTGGCAGAAGTCATTGAGTAGTTGGGAGGGGGGATCCAGTGCACAGGTGGAGGGGTTAGTTAGATAAGAGTGTGGGTAGTTTATCTGCAGCAAGGAGAGGGAAAGTGGACTGTATGGGCATAGATGCTGATGGTTGGGTGGATTCGAGAGGGAACTTGGGAAAGTTCTCTTCTGACAGATTCTCTGTTCTCAGTGAAGTAGCACATGGAGTCATCCACTGAGAATGGGCACAGGCAGTAGTGTAGGAGGTTGGAGGAGAGAGTAGGCATGAAGAGTAGGAGAGGGAGTGGGCAAGGGAAGAAGGGTATGGTCGTGGTTCAGGCACAGGGTGCACTGAAGGTCAGTCAGTGGTCCTGAACTTACACTGAGACAACCCAGCATGGGCATGTGGACTGGTCTTTGTTATTCCCTTTGTGTTAGTCAGTTTTGTGTTGCTATAACAGACCTGAGACTGGGTAATTTATAAGGAAAAGAGGTTTATTTGGCTTACGATTCTGGGACAGCTGCATCTGGCATGGGCCTCAGGCTGCTTCTACTCATGGCAAAAAGTAGCAGGCAGCCGGCAGGTACAAGCAGATCACATCGTGAGAGGAAGCAAGAGAGGGGAAGCGAGAGAGAGAGAAAGGAGGTGCCAGGGTCTTTTATAAACAATCTGCTCTCGTGGGAACTAATCGAGCGAGAACTCACTCACTACTCCTCCTTCCCCAGGGAGAGCATTAATCTATTCATGAGGGATCCATTCCCATGACTCAGTTTCCAGCACTGCCACATTGGGGATCAAATTTCCACATGAGTTTTGGAGGGGACAGCACATCCAGACTCCATCACCCTTCCAGCCACTTTGTGCAGTATGAGTAGAAGGGAGGAAGAGCTGAATTTAACTAGGGTTGGGGTTTTGCCAGATGAAATGATATTGTTGAAGATGGAAGCAAGGAAACAATTACAATGTGTTCATTACAACCCAACCTGTATAAGCAGGCTAAGAACAGAGGGGAAGTAGGGGCATGAGAAGGTGTTAGGGACACAAATGGATGGAAGAAAGAGTGAGCTTGATGCTAGGAGGGGGTGGTGGGAGAGCACATAGTTATCCTTGAGATTGAAGTGGGCATAGCTACTAGGAATGAGCAGGTCTAGGGCATGACTATGGAAGTGGGAGGCTGAGGAGAGGAGGTCTGGAAGCTGAGGGGTGAGGGTATGGGTGTTGAACATCAGGAGTTATGATCGAAGTAGCACACACAGTCCTTAGGCTGGTGGCTGCTGGCTAGAGGGGATCCCGATGGGTGGCTCCAGGCCCTCACTCATCAGTTCTGAGTCAGCTCTTCTCCGTATGTCCTTACTGCAAAGACAGGTTGTCTGGAGTGCTGTGATGCATAGGGCCCCTGTACTGTGCTTTGTTTTCTTTTTGTATTTTCCTTACTAAGCTTTAAGTTCCTTGATGGCAAGGATGATCTTGTCTATCTGTATATCCTTAGTGTCTAAAACCATACCTGGTACTTAGTACAGTAGTGGATATTGAATTGAGCTTCCACATAGATACATATATGGATTTGAAATCCATTGAAATAATTGTTTGAATTTTCAAATTGAGGGACCATGAGGGCAGGGAGCTTGTTTAATTCTGCTTTTGCATCCCATGTGACCAGCACTGTCCATAATGTTTAGTAGAGGCCATCTGTATCTCTCTATCTGTGCGGATACATGTGTATCTATATCTATATATGAGTGCATTACACATTGATAACAAAGATGGCTAAATAACCATGTTTTGGTGATTTACTTCTTGCTTGCAGTCAAAGTGCCTCCCAACTTTTCCCTCCCTCATTGACTACCACAGAATATGATCTGTGACATTAATCATGATATGGCAGATAGGGGCTCCTCAAAGGGCCCTTGGCTGACATTTTTTTCTACCATTGAATTAACAGCAGTACATTTGTCTGTTGCATGCTTTCCCCAAATGATAGATATATTTACACTGCCTATTGGCAATTTCCTGCAATATTTTTTCAGCTCAAGCATTGAAAAACTGGAAGAATGTTTAATATGGAACCGTCTAGAGTCCTCTTTCACTTATAATCAGATGTGGGTTATCATATAGTGAACTCACATTTTTGTATTAGATATCATTTATGATTATTTGACAAAAATATAATTTCTTTGTAGGATATGTGAAAAATTGTTTTAATACAGTTTGGAGAAACTAAATTATCTGTATTGTTACAATAGTGAATTTATATTAAAATCACCATCAATCCAGTTGGACTTATTTGCCTAATTTAGGATTATGTGATAAAAAGATGGATATGTCTTTTCCCACTTTTTTTTAAAAAGATGACCGGTAAGGGGATCTTAACTCTTAGCTTGGTGTTGTCAGCATCACGCTCAGCCAGTGAGCGAACCGGCCATCCCTATATAGGATCCGAACCCATAACGTTGGTGTTATCAGCACCGTACTTTCCCGAGTGAGCCATGGGCCGGCCCCTCTTTTCCCACTTTTTTTTAAAAAGATGACCGGTAAGGGGATCTTAACTCTTAGCTTGGTGTTGTCAGCATCACGCTCAGCCAGTGAGCGAACCGGCCATCCCTATATAGGATCCGAACCCATAACGTTGGTGTTATCAGCACCGTACTTTCCCGAGTGAGCCATGGGCCGGCCCCTCTTTTCCCACTTTTAACAATAATTTGAAAAGTATTTTGAAGAAAACACTGAAAAGCATGAAGTAGAATATGAAAACTTACTAATAATTCTATCACTTATAGAATTACAGATTTATTCTTTTTTGGGGGCAGCTGGCTGGTATGGCTATCCAAACCCTTGACCTTGGTGTTATTGACATTGCATTCTAACCAACTGAATTAACCAGCAGCCCTGAGAATTACAATTAGTATTTTGACATACTTTTCATTTTTTTTTTTTCCTGCTGGCTGGCTAGTAACAGGGATCGAAACCTGGATGACCTTGGTGTTATCAATACTGTGCTCTAACCAACTGAGCTAACCAGCCAGTTTTTAGTCTTTTTCTATGTTTAGATATGTATTTACTGTTACAAAAACTGGTTATATTGCTTTATAACTTTTTTCAGTCAAAAATATATGAAGAACATTTTTATGCCATTTAATTTTTTTGGCATTTCACATTGAATGCATGCATAGAATTCCTATTGTATTTAATCAGTCATCTATTGTTTGAAACGTAGGCTTTTTTCTGGAATGGACATCCTTATGAATAAATCTTTGAGCACATCCCTGATTATTTCCTTAAAACAGACTCCTAGGAATAGAATTCCTGTTTAAAATTTTAAGCTTTTATATTGTTAAATTACTTTATAGAAAAGAATGTACCAGTTTATATTCCCAGAAGTAATGTACGCCTTTCCAGCCCTGGATGAAAACAGACAAAAAAATTGGTCTGTGTGATAGTTTCCTCTATCCCCACCCCTTCCCCAGAACAGAAAAGAAGTGTATCCTAATGTTCTAATATGTCTTTTATTAGGCTTTCTGTGAAGAATTGGAATCAATGATACAGGAACAATTTAAGAAGGGGAAGAATCCCACAGGCCTATTGGCATTACAGCAGATTGCAGATTTTATGACCACAAATGTACCGAACGTCTACCCAGCAGGTCCACAAGGAGGGATGGCTGCCTTAAACATGAGTGAGTAGTTCCCGACTTTTTATATATGCTCTGTAATTTTCCAGGTAAAATTTTCTGAAGCTTCCTCATGTGAAGTAATGGGCATGCAACTAAGTAATACATAGAGTTGAGTATTTTGAAAATTAATGTGTTTTAGTCAGTCATAATAAACGATAGGCTGTAAACCTGAAAATGTCTTGAATGTAGAGGGCTCCTTTTTTAAAAAGCCAGTTATACTCTGTTATTTCCAAGGCAGATGACTTTTTATGGGGCTTCTCAGATCCTTTACAAATTAATCAGAGATAATTCTCGGGGAGTAGCACATCAGTTTTGCCTAAATTTATTTCAGCCAGATCAGCATTTCTTACCCACCAACATTTCTTTCCTACCATTCCTCACTGATGCTTGCAAACTAGTGAGAAACAAAAATTCCTAAAGAAAAGCCAGAGGGAGAATGTTGGGTGAGTGAAAGTGAGCCAAAGAACTGTTAGCTGTGCAGGGGTAGAGCTTTGCCATGGCTGTCTAATTTGTAAGTGTTAACATGACTTACATGTTATGTGGAGTTAAATAGAGGAGCACAGAGTGACTTGAGCATCAACTCATCTCATCTACTGTGTATTGTGTCCTGGGTCAATCTCTGATGAATCTGGTTGGATAGTCAGGTCTGGTTGGCCAATGTAAGGTAGTGGTTTCCATTAGAATCACCTGACATTTGCTGTGTACCTTTCTGTTCTATGGTATTCTTAGAAGTTGATTGGTGTTCACCAGATGTGATATATCATTCATGTCTACAGAGTATTAGGAATCCCATTTGATTTACTACCTGAAACCTCCATCCTGAAATCAGATGGCTGTTAGTAAGATTTTCATGTTTTCTCATGGATTCTTAATGGATTTCAGTGAAATTTGATATGAGTTAGATAATAAAAGAATGCATTTCTTTTTTTTTTTTGTCCTTTTTGAGACCGGCTGCACTGCGCTCAGCCAGTGAGCGCACCAGTCATCCCTATAAAGGATCCGAACCCGGAGCGGGAGCGCTACTGCGCTCCCAGCGCCGCACTCTCCTGAGTGCGCCACAGGCTCGGCCCTAAAAGAATGCATTTCACTTGCACATTGTCTTCAAGTTAGAGATAAAGAAAATTTTATTTCAATAATGCCACATACAAACAAAAGAGAGGAAGAAAGAAAATATGGCAGAAATAAACCCAATTAGTTTTAATTGTATCTAGTAGTTTATTTCCTAAAAGTAAAAACTTAAAAACAAAATTTTAACCTTTGTTGTAAATTATAACATATATACAGAAATTGGCATAGAACAAATGATGTATTGCTTAAGAATAATTTTAAGGTTAACGCCTTTATAACCACCACCCACATCAAAAAATAAAGGTTTATTTGTCCTTTGCCCTATTCCCCGACCTCTCACATTACCAGCATGGTCATCCCTAAATATTATGGCTTAGTTTTAGTCTATTTTTTACTTAATGTATGTTAAACCTTTTGTAAGCCACAAGTTACCCTTCCATTACTCTTTTTACCCCCTTACATTTTAAGTTTGAAGAAGATGGATTTATTGACTTGTAGAGTTACCCACAGTTTAAATTTTGCTAATTCCATTTCCATGGTACCTCTAACATGTTCTTTGTCTTTTGTGTTTATAGTAAATTGGTAGTTGCATCTAGAAGCTTGTCCATCTTTGAGTTTAGTTTTTTTTTGTCCTTTTTTTGAGACCGGCTGCAGCGTGCTCAGCCAGTGAGCACCCCGGCCATCCCTATATAGGATCCGAAACCGCGGCGGGAGTGCTGCTGCACTCCCAGCGCTGCACTCTCCCGAGTGTGAGTTTAGTTTTTTTGGTAAGACTCCTTCATAAGTGGTACTGTCTTCTATCAGGAGGCACATAGTCTGGTTGTTTCTCTTTCTGAAATTATCAGCCGTTGATGCTCAATGCCTAGATCCATTAGTTTAATAAGGGCTCCAAGATGGTTATATTTAATTCTATTGTTCCTTCTGTATTTATTAGCTAGATATTCCTAGAAGGAAAAATATCCCCTCAACTCTTTTGGTTACCCCGTGGTACAGTTTGAATAGGAGAGGTATGATCCCTTTTCAGAGTAAGTTGGTTTTCTATCATCCTTCAAAGGTGACCAATTAGTGTTTTTTTTTTTTTTTAAATGTCACTTGAATTCATAGATTTAAACATTTTTAATGTGTTTCAAATCATTGCAGTTATTATCCTTTTTGATGCTCTAATTGTCCTATCTTTTACCCCTCTTCAGGCTGACTCCTGAGCCTTGTAGACTTTCTCAGCTTACATACTGTCTCCCATGAGGTGATGTTTTAGGCTCATCTTGTGTGTTTCCTGCCCCAGATCTGGAACCAGCCATTTCTCTAAGAAACCTTGATTTCTTCTTATGGGAAATGGAATTTTAGTCTGGGTACTAGGGATGCACGTTGCTCCTGGTTGGTCATTCTTTTTAGGCCTTTTTGGTGAATAGAATAGGAAATATATATTACCTCATGAGTTTATACTGATACTTCCAATTAAAATTTATGACGAAGGGGTTTTTACTTAACCACTTCTGTCTAACATTTGTTCTCCTTTCCTTTGACACCAAAAATTCTGGTTCTCAAGGACACCAGGAATGAGAAAACTAGAATATTACGTAATTCCTCATTTGCTTTTTCTCACGTTATTACACTCGATACCCGTACTGTACCAACAATATATTCTTTCCCCGTTCTTTCCTCATGTTTTGAAGTAGTTATACTGTTATGTTGTCAGAGTGCATAACTGTTTCATATCATTGTCTCTCATATAGTGTTGTAACACTCATATAGTGTTATAACTAATAACTTAATTCTGTAATAAATACATGTTTACTGCTTACCGCCAGTCCTTACATCGATGTCTTCCTAGTTATTTTGGTAGTCTGAAGTTTCTTTTACAGTGGGCTTGTCAGAAAACATTTATAGAAATTATATTCTCTAAGTTCTTGCATGCTGTGGCCTTTATATGTCATGTTAAGTTGGTTTGGATAATTGGGATATAAAATCCATGGCTTACATTTTCCTTTTTTATGTGTCTTAAATACATAATTCATTTTCCTCTGGCCCAAAACACTGCTTATTAAAATTTGAGGGTAATCTTCTCATATAAGCAACTTGGTCTCTTTTCCTGAATGCTCAAAATATTTTTCTTTAGAGTCCAACAATTTTAGCAGAATATGGCTTAGATTTTGGTCATTTTGGGTTCATTTTCAGATGGTGTGCCCTTCCACGTTTTTTAAGGTCAGCAATATTTTCTTGAATTGATTTTTAGTATTTCTTCCTTTGCTTTTGTTTTCTTTTTCAGGAATTCCTGTTATATGCATGTTGGATTTTCTTTGCCTTCTGTAACCGTCACTTTTTCTCAAATCCTTTTTTTATCTCTTTCTTCATCTCCTTATAATTTTTAAAAATTTTCTTTCTTGCTCTCTCTTCTTGAGGTGGGCCAGCCATCGTCTCTTGCTCTCCAGCATCAGAGCTTTTGAATGTTGGGCCTTTGGACTCCACGACTTAAACCAGCAGTCCTCCCCACCTCATCCCTGGTTCTCAGGCCTTCAAACTTGGATTGAAATTTGCCACCAGCTTTCAGACAGCATATCGTGGGACTTCTCCATAACCAAATGTGCTAATTCCCATAATGAATGTTCTCTTATATACGTCCATATATCTTATTGGTTCTGTTTCTCTGGAGAACCCTGATAAATGCGGAGTGTAGGTATAACAGCAGGACCTGCTATACTTGATTATGTTTGATCCTTTTCCCCTAGGGGTGGGGCAGGCCTCAATTTTGGAGGAAGTTTGCAAGGCAGACTTGCTGGCTAAATCCCCAGAAATAGTATGCTTATCTAGCAGAATATAAGATAACATAAAGTCTAGCTGAGCATGCATTTCTCTGAGTTCCCTCTTTTCCCATGGTTATTTGATATTTTGAATTTGGTTACTGGACAGGATGACATTATTTACGTAAGTGTAAGGCTGTTTTCCAGTCAGCCTGGAACTGCAGACTTACAGTGAGGCATGTGCTATTCAGGTCCTGAGAAACCAAGGAAGACATCAATAAAACTGTACTGATTCCAGCCCAAAGCAGGTCAGGATCCTTCAGGATAATCCCTAAGATAATATCAGAGACAAGAACAGACACTAGACGGAGCCTTGGAAAGATTTTGCGCCTGGCCCTTTATACGTCCCCCTCCCTCTTGTTTTTTTACTTCCTGCTTCTTACCCCATAAAGACCGTGGTTAGGGGCTGGCCTGTGGCTCACTGGGGAGAGTGTGGTGCTGGTAACACCAGGCCATGGGTTCGGATCCCATATATAGGGATGGCCAGTTAGCTCACTTGGGAGAGCGTGGTGCTGACAACGCCAAGTTAAGGGTTAAAATCCCCTTACTGGTCATTAAAAAAAAATAACAAAAAACCGCGGTTAGCTTGAGAATATGAGATGGTCTTGGGGATGTTAGTTCGCCATCTCCTCAGGATTGATGGCTTCTTGAATGAAGTTATCTTTCCTTTTTACCACCACCACCACCACCACCAACAAAAAATTTTCTTTTTGCCTACTTTTCTCTTAGGTTATTTATGTGTTTTTAAAATTCTTCTGTAACTTCTAGGTTAGTATTTTAAAGTTTTCTTTCTTTCTTTTTTTTTTTTCCTTTCTGTCTTTTTTCGTGACTGGCAATGGGATCACAACCCTCGGTGTCGTGCCCTCACCGCACTCAACCAGTGAGCGGACTGGTCTCTATATGGGATCCGAACCCTCGGCGGGAGCGCCGCTGCACTCCCAAGCACCACACTCTACCGAGTGCGCCACCGGGCCGGCCCCTTAAAATTTTCTTTTATATCTAATTATTTTATGTTCTAGCACCTCACTTCTGAATATTTCTAATTCTATGTAATGTTTTTTAAATCTTTTGTTATTAGCGTTTTTAACTTGTTATGAAATAATAGGTTATAGTTTTCATCTATTCTGTGGACATGTTTTCTCTTCTGCTTTCTTTATCTGTATGGAAGTTATTCTGCTCATTCTTTTTTCTTATAACAATTCCTGTATGGTATTTGATCATGATATTTTTCTTTTCATTTTTATATGAAATTGGTTTTCCTGAAGGAAGCTGGTTCAGGAAAGCTTTTCTAATGTCATGGCTCTAGAGCCTTGTCTTCTGTTTTTTTTTTTTTTTTTTGAGAAGTGTTAAAAAAATATGGCAGTTTATTTAATGAAATCTGGATCTGGGCCTTTTCTTTCCTTTTCTTGATAGTACCGTATTGCTCAGTTTGGATTCTAATTCCACTAATTTCTCAGTGTGAGACTTCGTCCTGGAGCAGAGTTTCAGATGATTAGCCTGGAGCATTTGTAAGGATTAAAGTGTGCAGAACTCCTCTTGGTTTCAGCTGCTGTTCTCAAATTGACCCTCTGAGCTTTCCAGTGAGTTCTTGCTGGTTCTTTTGAGAGTCTCAAGTCTGGCAAATGGTCTGTAGCTTTCCTCTGCATCTTCCTACACAGATGATGATATCAAGCACCCCGTCTTTATCATACTACCTACCTGTATTTTCAGTTTTGTGGGTCCTCCTCATTACCTAGTTTTGTTGTTGTAGGTATCATCCTTGGGTTTTTGGTTCTGCTGCCCTAGTTGCTCCAGTTAGTTTTTTTGTTTGGGGTGGTTTGGAGAGGGATTTAGGGAGATTCAAAAACTGCTGTCAGTGCCACCATCTTCTGAAAATCTCCTAAAAAACAATCTTTAAAAATTAAAGATCTGAAGTAGAAGATTGACATATTTGAATCAAGATGGTGGATACGGAATTTCTTGCATTCTTTGTATTTTTCTGTATGCTTGAAATACTTCATAATTTAAAAGAAAAGAGTCAAATCTAGCAATATATAAAGATGATAATATGTCATAACCAAGTGAGGACATGCAATCAAAGACTTTTTTCCTTACTTTCCTCTGTGTGTTTCTTGCCTTATTGTATTGGCTGGAACCTCAGTAATATTCAGTAAGAGTGCAAGAGTGTACATCATGGTGTTGCTCTCAGTCTTAGGAGGAAAACATTCAGTCTTTCATCATTATGCTTGATATTAGTGGTAAGTGTTTTTTGTAGATATCTTTCATCAAGTTGAGGATGTTCCCTTCCTTTCCTAATGGACGTTGAATTTTGTGATCTGCATTAAAATGATCACATGGTTTTTCTTTTTTAGTTTAGTGTGGTGAATTATATATATTTTTTTAATGCTGAACCAACCTTGCATTTCCTGAGATAAATCCTACTGGTTGTGATATGGTTTTTTTGTTTTGTTTTGTTTTGTTTTTTTGTTATATATTACTGGATTATTTGCTAAAATTTCATTAAGTACTTCTTAGTCTCTGATCATGAGAGATATTAGTCTGTTTTTTCTTAAAATGTATTGTAATGTCTTTGTGTGGTATTAGTATTAAGGTAATGCTGGGCCTCACAGAATGAATTGGAAAGTGTTCTGGAAGAGTTGTGTAGAATTTTCTGGAATAGTTTGTGAAGAATTGGTATTATTTCTTCCATAGTATTTGACAGAATTGACAGTGAAGTCATCTGGGCCTGGAGTTTTCTTCTTGGGAATGTTTTTAACTGTAAATTTAGCTTAATGGAAATAGGGCTACTTAGGATATCTGTTTCTTCTGGAGTGAACTTTGGTAGCTTATATCCTTCAAAGAATTTATTTCATTTAAGTTAAAGACTTTGCTGGCATAGTTGTTCATATTATCCCTTTATTATCCTTTTAATGTCTGTAGGATATGTAGTGATGTCCCCTCTCCACTTTCTCATATTAGCTATTTCTGCCTCCTCTCTTTTGTTAAGTCTGGCTAGAGGTTTATTTTATTTTATTTATATATATATATATATATATATATTTTTTTTTTTTTAAATCTTCTCAAAGAACCAGATTTTGCTTTAATCAAAAAATCTTAAACTTTTATTCTTTTCTTATATATATTTTTAAAAATATATATTTTTAATGCTGTAAATTTCCTTGTAAGCATGCTTTACTGCACCCTTCAAATTTGGCTACCTTTTTGTTATTGATTTCTAACTTAATTGTATTAATGTTGGAGAATATGGTCTTTATGAAATTGTCCCTGAAGTTTTTGAGATTTACTTTATGTCCCAATGTGAAAGGTAAACATCACAAAACCATTATTATTTGATTTGTATTTGGTAAGAAATATTAATATTTGAGTTTTGTTTCTCTTTATTTCAGGTCTTGGTATGGTGACCCCTGTAAATGACCTTAGAGGATCTGATTCAATTGCATATGACAAAGGGGAGAAGTTATTGCGGTGTAAATTGGCAGCATTTTACAGACTAGCAGATCTCTTTGGGTGGTCTCAGCTTATCTACAATCATATCACCGTGAGTATTAAATGGGGTAGTAACTGAATGGTAAGTGGAATATTATGTGTCTGGCACCACCTCTTCCAGGAGAAGAGGGACATGGGCTGAGCTTCAGTAAATCTTAGAATACCTTGTCTTCTGATTCCTGACTACAGAGTGTAGTAATCTGAGAATTAGCCAGTTTGGGTTGAGAGTTAGGAGCACAATAATTCTTGAAACCTTCTTTCTTGCATATTAAATAAATGTTCACCAAATTATAGGCAGTTCCTAAAATTCTTTTCATTCTTAAAAACCTAAGAATCGGGGCCGGCCCGGTGGCGCACTGCTACAGTGCACCGCTTGGGAGCGCTGTGGCGCTCCCGCCGAGGGTTCGGATCCCACATACAGACTGGCCGCTCACTGGCTGAGCGAGGTGCGGGCGCAGCACCAAGGGTTGCGATCCCGTTGCCGGTCCCGGTCCGGTACGGGCGTGACACTGAGGGTTGCGATCCGTTGCCGGTCACGAAAAAAGACCAAAAAAAAAAAAAACCTAAGAATCAAGATTTTTTTTTCTGACTCTGACCAAAGCTTCTGCCTCTCACACTTTTTTCTTTAGCTACTTTAGTTTTTTTTTTTTTTTTTTTTAGTTCACTCTTGTTTGTAACAAATATCAGTGGGTGCCTGCTTTCTCTATACCAAGCATTGTTCTAACTCTGGGGTTATGTAACGAATGACATGAGTCCTGCCCTTGTATGCATCGTCCCTTCTACATCCCAGTTCAGCAGCCCGTTATTTACTTCCTGTTTTGTTCAGCTTGCATTTCATGGTCAATCATTTTAGTAACATTCTTTTCCAATTCTGTACTATCCCTCCCTGCATCTGAGCAGCCATGTCCTGCTGCAGAAACCTCACGATAGAGCCCATTGGCTTTCTCCATTGATCTATAACCCTAATCTTAAATAGACCCACAACTATGGGCTGTCTCTTACAACCTCACTTATGTTTAAGTTTTCTCTACTATCTTTGAAACTCCTGACTTCCTCCCAGCAAGTGACCTCATCACATCACAGAAAAAGGGGGAACCCTTACTGAGGTTTGTAGCCATTCCATACTCCTGACCAACTGTAATAAAATCCTACCTCCTACCTGTGGCCAAAATTTGCTCTCCTGGCTTGGAATTCCATCCCTACGTGCCTTCCCAGATTCCTAATGCATTAGCACATTTCTTTTTTTTTCAGAACACTCTTTTGTAGAGATAGCTTCTTTCTATGAACTGCTTCCTTGCTTTGGTTTTTAAAAGTTGTCTCCTGTTTTTTAAATTTAACTTATTTTATTGGATATATTAATAATTTAAACTATTGCCTGCTTATTGTATCAAGTGTACCTTATGCAGGTGTCTAAAGAAAAAGTCGTAGCCCTGCCAATACTCCTCTCTCTTGAGTGTTTACAGCCATTTAGATTATTTAAACCTTTTCCCCATTCTGACACACACATATGTAGGTTTTTCCACATGTGGGCTCATAACCAGTGGCGCTTAGTAAAGCTCCATTCTGGACTCAAAGGAAGGTTAAACCTCCTGAGGTGATGGTCTGGAGCCCACCCTTTTGACCAGTGCATTGTACTTCTGGGACTTGATAATGGCCTCTTGCCTTCTCTGTCTGCTCTCCACTTGTCATAAAGTGAATTCTTCAGAGTGCAAGCCTGACTGTGTCGTACCCGTGTGTGCTGCACACCCTCCTCCTGTGTGGAAGTTACTCCTGCTTTATTCCACCGTAGCAGTTACCTGCATCCATTCTGTACATTTCCCTATTGTCAGTCTCTCCCCACAGGAGTATCAGCTCCATAAAGCGAGCCTTTGTTGTGATCCTTACTGTGGCCCCAGGACCTGGCACAAAGCAAGCATGTAATCAACTCTTGTCAGGTTAATGACTGAATGAAATCCCTAGCTGAGCTCACACTACCTCAGTAAAATCATGAACAGGAACTCGCTGGGGCCTTTTGATATTTGCTTAGTGGGCCCAGTTAGCCTGGCGTAAGTGCCAGCTCCCTTCCTGATGCCTGCAGGAAAATGCTGGCCTCTCTGGCTAACTATACTTGACAGAATGCTCCACTGCATTTATTTATTTGTTTGTTTGTTTATTTAATTGAATCATAATTGATTATACATATGTTTGGGATTCAGTGCTGGCATTGTTGATCAAATCAGTATTACTAGTACGTATATTGTTACAAATTGTACTTATTCTTTATGCCCCTTGTCCGATCTCTCCCTATCCCTTCCCCCACACCCCCCTTCCCACCACTGATAACCCTAGATTTCTTCTTTCCTTTTTTTTTTTTTTTCGTGACCGGTAACGGGATCGCAACCCTCGGTGTCACGCCCGCACCGCGCTCAACCAGTGAGAGGACCAGTCTCTATATGGGATCCGAACCCTTGGCGGGAGCGCCGCCGCACTCCCAAGTGCCACACTCTACCGAGTGTGCCACCGGGCCAGCCCCATTTCTTCTTTCCTTTGAAAGAGTAATGGTTACTCCGTTGATTTGTTGCCTAGATGATCTGTCCAATGCTGAGAGGTGTGTTCAGGTCCCCTTGTATTATCATAGAGCAGATGCTTCTTTTGTTACTATGGAATGGGCTTTGTGGAGAGAGACGTCCTCTTTTCTTTGGTCTCTGCTGGTGACTTTCCTTGTGTCAGTGCACTCCAGTGTCTGGTGGAACATCTGCATGGTGGTTGTGACGTCTAGCCACTTTCATGGCAGCTGTGGTTACTGTGGTGGGCGACCTGCATGGAGTGATGTTTTGTGCATGCTTCTTGGTGCTGGTGGTGTGTGTGTGTGTGTGTGTGTGCGTGTGTGTGTGCGTGGGCGTGTGGGCGTGTCCAGCCCCTAGGCTATGCCCCGAGGTGCTAGTGGTGTGCCTGGGCTGGAACTAATTTTTTGTCCTTTGTTTACTTCTAAAACTGGGGAACTTCCTGTGGGAACCAGTACTTGAGCTGTATGGTTGAGCTAAATTGCTGCTTTGCTGCTGTTTCCCTAGGGAAAGCGTTTTGTGCAGCTCAGGGTTTAATGGTTGACCTTATAGGTATTTCCGGCTCTCCAGAGACCCGCTGCACCTGGGTTGTATAGAAACTCTGATCTGTGCCTGAGTTTTTTCATCAAACTGCACCCCATGCAATTCTGCATGCTTGATCAGTCTCCTCTTAGTGGCCCTGCACTGATTGGGGGGCAGATCAGCTGTCCTTGCTTTGTTCCAGTGTTCTCCTGGTGGGCCTGTCTCCCCCACCACCCGTGCTGCAAATACTTCCCATGGGACAAGCTGTGCACCAGTCCCTTGCAATGATCACCGGCCTCTGAATGGCTCCCCTTTTTCAGTTGTTCTGGTTCCTCCTGCGTGGGTCCACAGGAACCCTATTAGTGGTCTTGCTGTCCTGGGGGCCACCAAGGCCCTCTTCTCCCCTGCCACCTCCAAGTAACTCCATGCAAAGAGCACAGCTGCGGCTCCTGCCGGCTCCTGCTCCGTGCACTCAGCAGCTCCAGCCTTAAAGCAGCCACGGCCCAAAACGCTGAGAGCAGTTTTTTCTTTCTTTCACTGTGGCTTCTCCCACCTTCATGAACTCTATAGGTCTCTCTTCCTCTTCCTCTCAGCTCCAGCGGCCCCAGCTTGGGTTGTTACATTTTTATAGTTGTAAATTGGTTGATTTATGGGAGAGAGATGCTGGGGACCAACTACTCTACCATGTTGACCAGAACTCCTCTACCAGAGATTTAATACTAAATGGTTGCCTAAAAACTAGTTCCATGAAAATGTTAGAGCCATAATAGGAAATGTAATCCCTGGATTTAATAGATTCACACTCTTTAAGGGTTTGAAAGTGCTGTTTACCACTAGTCCTATTATGAATACTATTTAAATAAGTTTGAAATTCATAAATTGCTTACTTATTTTTTTCTTTCATTGTTTAGGAATTGGCAGAATTAAAAAATTAGTTGAGTGTTTATTCTTCTTTAAGTGATCTGCTTGGGGCTTAATACTGAGTAAAAAGAAATCCAAGTTACCAGAAATATTGCCTATATTTTGTGAACTAGAACTACAGAATCTTTAAGGAAGAATGGTTTTTTTGTTTTTACTATATTTGTTATCCATTTTTTGTTTTACAGTAGAGGTTTTATCATAGACACTTAACAGGAAAGCACACGTTAATATTATTTTTCAGTGCAACAAAGTCTTAGTAGGTCATTCAGCCCTTTCTTTGAAATAGAGTCATAGGGATTTTCTGCTAAAGGGATTTAAAAGTACTGATATGTGTTAGAGGATCGGAGATGATTATCTGAATTAGATCTTTGTTTTAAGATTGCATTGGATTTAGAGAAGGTATTGGGGGGGAACGGAGCACAAAACAGGATGGCCCAGTTAGCACAATGGGCTGGGACTCCTCTTGAGGTACTTAGTTGATGGCTGGGCCTTTCCATCCTGGTTTCAGTGGAATGTTGTTGAGGCTTAATACCTATACAACCTGGCTGGTGCTTGATTCAGCTCCATTCTGGAATCCAAGGAATGTCAAACCTCCAGGTGACCTCACCTTTGTGACCAGTGCATTGTGCTCTGGGGATGTGATGTCTGTTAGAAGTACTGAGTTGGAGTGTATTTGGTTTTCAGTGAGTGACCTGAAGATCTGTGACGGGAGAGTCTCATTCCTCGAACACAGAGAAGGGGCAGTAGATGTGTGGGAAGAGGCATAGTGAGACTAGTGCTAGTGCCCTGGGTAGGGCCACCGCTGAGGACTGCCATTCTCTCTTTTTACTCGATGTCCATATTTTACACTTTCTCCTTCTTGCTTCAGACTCAGAGAATTGTATGGTTTAAGCTTTTTGTTTTTTGTTTGGTAGTTGACCAGTAAGGGGATCCAAACCCTTGACCTTGGTGTTATGGACACCATGCTCTAACCAAGTGAGCTAACCGGCCAGCCTATTGTAAACTTTTTAAATTAAAGTATGTATTTCGGCCGGCCCGGTGGCGCACTGCTACAGTGCACTGCTTG